GCTGGTGCTGCGGACCCGGCCGGTGGAGCTGCTGCTGGTGCTGCGGACCCGGACGGTGGAGCTGCTGCTGGTGCTGAGGACCCGGACGGTGGAGCTGCTGCTGGTGCTGAGGCCCCGGGCGGTGGAGCTGCTGCTGGTGCTGCGGACCCGCACGGTGGAGCTACTGCTGGTGCTGAGGTCCCCGGTGCTGGTGTCCCTGCTGGCTCTGGAGACGCTACGAGGCCGCGACCGTACTTCGTCCCGCTCCTTCAGCAGGTTCTTGGTCTGGCTCCTCCTCCTTGTCCTCCTCCCTCCGTAGAGTGTCTGCAGCCTGTCCAGTCGCAGTCACAGTTACCGCCTACCTCGCCTCTCCCTGGTCCCTCTCCTTACACCGGTCCCACAGGAGGTCTTACCGAGCGTCGTGAGCCTGCGTCTCGTCCTGCGTCGCCTGTTCGTCCTGCGCGCACTAGTCGTCGTGGCACACGTGAGCGTCCTCCTCCTGTCCCTGGCACTCACTACATGACACTGCGTCGCTCCACTGCTCCTCAGCGTGTCCCTCTGCTGTCTCCTCCTGCGTCCTCTCTCCCTACTCTTCCTGACCCGGAGTCTGACTCCCGTCGTGCTGCCAGTCCCACAGTCACGCGTCTCCTCGCCACTGTTGTCACTGACCCTACCTTTGAGTCCTCTGCTGCGTCTGCTCTGGTCGCTGAGTTGGTTGACTTTGCTGCCGCGTGCCGTCTAGACTTCGCCGCTAGCCTTGTTGCTGAGTCTGAGTCTGTCTGTCCTCCGTCCGTCGGGGGTGAGTGTGCTCTAGGCACGGACGTCCTTGAGGACAGGCAGGAGGAGTTCCAGTGCTTTGCTGCTGCTTTGCCCCATCTTGTGTCCATGCTAGTTGCCCCTGAGGGAGACCCGGATGCACCAGACATCCCGACCCCGCGCTCTTACGCAGAGGCGGTGGCAGGTCCCTACTCCTCTCAGTGGCAGACAGCCATGGACGCAGAGATGGCTTCCTGGAAGTCCACAGGCACCTACGTCGACGAGGTTCCCCCACCTGGGGCGAACATCGTCAGTGGCATGTGGATTTTCAGGGTGAAGCGGTCGCCGGGTTCTCCTCCTGTCTTCAAGGCACGCTACGTTGCTCGAGGCTTCAGTCAGCAAGAGGGAGTAGACTTCTTCCAGAACTTCTCCCCCACCCCGAAGATGACTACTCTTCGGGTGCTGCTGCACATAGCCGCTCAGCGAGACTACGAGCTTCACTCTCTTGACTTCAGCACTGCTTTCTTGCAGGGCAGTCTGCACGAGGAGATCTGGCTGCGCCGCCCTCCTGGCTTCACTGGGTCGTTCCCTCCTGGTACCCAGTGGAGGCTCCAGCGGCCAGTCTACGGTCTCCGCCAGGCGCCACGTGAGTGGCACGACACACTGAGGACGACACTCGCGGCACTTGGGTTCGCTCCTTCTACTGCTGACCCGTCGCTGTTTCTACGCACTGACACCTCGCTGCCGCCGTTCTACATCCTCGTGTACGTCGACGACTTGGTCTTTGCCACTGCTGACACTGCAGGACTCGCCCACGTGAAGTCGGAGCTGCAGAAGCGACACACGTGCACAGACCTGGGTGAACTGACAAGCTACCTTGGCTTGCGGATCACTCGGGACAGAGCACGGCGCACCATCACCTTGACTCAGTCACACATGGTGCAGCAGGTCCTTCAGCGCTTCGGCTTCACGTACTCCTCGCCTCAGGCCACTCCTCTAACTATAGGTCACTCGCTCTCAGCTCTGCCTTCGGATGAGTCCGTAGAGTCGAGTGGCCCGTATCCAGAGCTTGTTGGCTGCCTCATGTATCTGATGACCTGCACTCGACCTGACCTTGCATACCCTCTTAGCATCCTTGCACGCTATGTCGCTCCTGGCCGTCACAGGAAGGAGCACATGGATGCCGCTAAGAGGGTGTTGCGCTACTTGTGCAGTACGTCGGGCATGGGGCTAGTGCTTGGAGGGCGAGACCGTGTTGTACTCACTGGACACTCAGACGCTTCTTGGGCGGACGACCAGGCTACTCAGCGGTCGTCTCAGGGTTACACCTTCAGCCTTGGCTCTGGCTCAGTTTCTTGGCGTTCTACACGCTCTTCTTCTGTTCTCAGCTCCAGTTGTGAGGCTGAGATCTACGCCACAGCCATGGCGGCCCAGGAGCTACGCTGGCTGACCTACCTGCTGACTGACTTGGGAGAGCGGCCTCGTTCCCCTCCAGTGCTGTACGTTGACAACAAGGCTGCCATTGCCTTGTGTGAGGAGCACAGACTGGAGCACAGAACGAAGCACATCGCTCTGCGGTACTTCCTTGCTCGAGAGCTTCAGCAGCGTGGTCAGCTTTGTCTCCGTTACGTGGCCACTGAGGCCAACACTGCTGATGTGTTCACCAAGGCGCTTCAGCCTTGTGACCATCAACGCTTTTGCACTCTCCTAGGTCTTGTGCCTACTGGACCTCACTTGCTCACTTCTTGACTCTGTTTGTACTGTGATCTTTATATATATACCTGCATGTTTACTCTTGCTAGGTTGTGATCATTGTACCTCTTGCTCTATTATAAACCTGCATGTGAACTGGTCTTGTGACCGCTTGCTTGTGCTCGGAATTTGTGTGGAATCCTTGAGATCCACCCTGAGCTTGTTTTGCCTTGCTCTGCCTTGACTGGTCTTGTGACCCCTAGTTCTCCCCCACTTTGCCTATGGGGGTGTGTTAAACATTATATATGTTATGCTTGTGTAGGCTACAGTGGGTTAGCCTATACGGGGTACACAATTCTAGGGTTAGGTACTTGTACTGTTTTGCACTGTTAGTTCATCATTCCTGTTCGTTCTTTTCGACAGGCACGTGTCGCATGAAGTGACGAACTGCTGCACGTCTGTTGCCATCCGGGGCCAGTAATAATACTTTGCTATTCCCGCTAACGTCTTGTTGCTCCCGAAATGTCCCGCGTATGCCACATCGTGAAATTCCTCCAGTAAGATCTGTCGGAGCGGGGCATAGTTCGGTACCCAAATCTTTCATGATCCCTTTCTTACAGCTAGGTCCTTCTCCCACTGTAACAGCTTCTGTTTCTCTGCTGTAGCAATCTCTGCGTCCACGGAGTATCCATGCTGGAATAGACCCTTGAGCAGAGGGTTCATCCCGTCGAGTTGGATGCCTGCTACATGACCGGGGCGGCTCAACGCATCAGCTTTGTTGTGTAGCCCGGGCTTGTAGACGATGTCGTAATGGAAGTGGGTCTCCAAGAAGTCTACCCACCGCACCTGTCGTCGTGAGAGCGTCGGCTGCGACTTCAGGTATTTGAGGCTGTAGTGGTCAGTGTAAACTGTAGTCTTGGCTCCCTCTAGGTAACACCTCCACGCCTTGAAGGCTGTGACTATCGCTAAGGCTTCCTTGTCATGGATAGGGTAGTTCAGTTCTGCTCCATGTAGCTTCTTACTCAGATAGGCGATGGGCTGCAAACCGCGTCCGTGATCCTGCATCAGTACTGCTCCGACTGCTTGGTCACTAGCGTCTGCTTCCACCACGTAGTCTCTGTCTGGATTCGGTAGGATGAGTACTGGCGCTGTAGTCAGTGCTGTCTGTAGCTGCTCCATGGCTTGCTGATGAGGAGTATCCCCTGTATCCGTCCACCTTCGCAGCTTCACACGTTTCCCGTCGTTGTAGATACACGCCTTCCAGTTGACCCAGTCGATCTCGGGGTTGAACCGCTTCAGAAAATCACGCCCCAAGATGAAATCTAATCCCTTGATGTTCGTGATCGGCAACGTCGGCTTCAACCTTAACGCTCCTATCTGCAGCTGCAGTGTTGACTCGCCGTGGATGGGAAGCTTCGTACCGTCCACCATCGTTGTTGTAAACTGGGTCTCCTCCGATGACTCTCCAATTTTCTCCAACGTCCCGCGGTCGCACACCGAGTGGGACGCACCACTGTCCACCAGTGCCTGGAGGCGTCGCTCGTTGCAGATCACCTCGAGTACTAGTGGCTGTTGCTGCTCCGAGTAGCCATAGCTGGTATCGCTTGTAGGATCGTAGGGTACGTCGAATATGTCATCCCTAGGTCCTGCGCTCGAAGATGCAGCTTCAATATCAGGTATCACCTGAGTAGGGTTAGAAGGATTTATCCGAGGCTGGTACAACTTCTCTTGAGCCTGGAACCTTCCCCTAGGCCTTTGCAGCTGTGTAGGCTTCATCTGTGGGGAACAGGGAGCCTTTAAACAGAGCTGCTGGGAGAGAATATTAACTCCTCGGAACGCTCGACCCTTGTTAGCGCTCCGGAGTAGGGTCCCCATATTACCCGGTACCGGTTTAATTTCTGACTCTCCCTTAATAAAGGCTTGAAACCCACGAGAAGTAATATTCTTACTTGTCGGGGTGTACGGCTGGAGTTTCCCAGTCGGTGCAGGGTCTTGTTTCGCGGAGTCTCCATTTGTCTCGGCGATTTCCCCTGGTGCCGGCTGGTCGTGACGTTTTAAACTCGCGCCATCATATTCTCCTTTTTTCGCCCTCTCCGAAGTTGCCACGTTGTCCGTTTTCTGCTTCGGGGGTGCCGCACTGTTCTTGTATCTCAGCTCCGCACGCCTTCCCTTCATTTCCCAACACGCCAAGATACGATGTCCTGTAGCGCCGCAAAATTTGTACGTCTCAGTTTTTGCTAGCCGCTGCTCCACATCGCCCTCGTCGTTCTCCATCGGTTCAGCAGTCGTGGGTGGTGCCAATCGCCCCATGCCACTAGTTGGCTTGTTGCGTCGTGTTCCGTAGTAGCTACTGTTCAACGTGTCGAACTGTTCGATCAGTGCTGCCCGAAACTGCGCCCACGTCCCTTCGCCTTGGACTATTCTGTTGTTGATCCACTCTAGAGCTGGGCCTTGTAACAGTGTTGCTGCGAGCCGTATGCGCATTGCGTCTTCTGTCGGGGTCGTGCATCCAACGGCTTCGAAGTAAATTTCGAGTTCAGCTACAAATCGACGAACGTCGTTCCCTTTAAACTATGAAATCGAACGCCTCCGGTAGCCTCAGCTTCACTGCTTCGAGGTTAACTGTAGCTGCTGCCGTTGTCGCAGGTAGAATTGTCGGTGTCGCCGCTGCTGCTGCTGCTGCTGCTGCTGCTGCTGCTGCTGCTGCTGCTGCTGCTGCTGCTGCTGCTGCTGTCGCTGCTGCATTCGCTGCTGCTGTGGCGGTTGCCGACTGGTTCGCAAGGAGTTTCTCGAGTCGTGGGAGCGCCACACGTACCTGCTTATGCTCGGCACGTAACTCCGCGATTTTCTGTACTGAAATATCTCTTTTTCCCTCCATTTGGCGATTTACAGAAAGAAGCGCGACGAAAAGAATCAATTTATGGGTGCTGGCCGACTTACTGCGACTCGAATCGACTGTAGAATCGACGAGTAAAAATTCTGTAAGTCGCGTGAATCTCCCTTAGTCGAAATTCGCGCTCAATCTCGGCCGTTGAGAAGAAAGTCAATCCGACGCTCCAAATTCCAACGTTTTGGGCGAAATTCTCCGGGCCGTTGAGATGAAACTCGATCGAACGGTCGAAACTCCAACCTTTCCACCAGAAAATCTGAGGGGTGTTCGAAAACCGAATCGAGGGGGACTTAGAAAAATTGCGCGGAACTGGTTTTACATACCCGTATCGGCGCCTTCGTCGTCGCCCCCGCGGTTTTTAAAGGCCGGAACTACGCGGTTGAAGACCTCGCGTGTAAACCCGCTCTGATTACCAAGTGTGAGGATCTGGTTCAGCCGCCTTCCCGCGCATACTGACGGATACTTCAGTGGCAATGCCACATTCTATGCCTTCCAGCACCAGGCTGTTATGCAGGTGCTGCCCATTTTGATGTCAACCGTCAAGGACATGAACCCAGAGTGGGTGAGGACCGTGGAGCTGTTTTGTTTGTGGCATAGTCTCGCTTGGCATCGCGCCTGCCACACTGAGAAGTCCCTGAAGAATCTACAAGAGATGGCTCGTGTGTAAGTACTGTGCAACCGTGTACTTGCCAATATTCGCTATTTCATTCAGTCAGTTATTCGCCGTGTAGTAGTTTTGTCATGAACCAGCAGGCTAGATTCGTGAAGGGTGGATACGGAGCATCACTCTCACCCTATACCTCCCTTTCCCTCGCATTTTTAATCTTGGCTGTCCAGTTTTCCAGCAGGTGGACCAGAGAGCATCACTGTTACCCTGCACTGCTCTTGATCTCACTGATTGCACTCTCAGTGCTCTTGATCTCACTGATTGCACTCTCAATGCTCTTGTCACTCTTTCACTGCACTCTCACTGCTCTTGATCTCACCGATTGCACTCTCACTGCATTTGGATCCAATGAATTCACTGTGACTATCTTCGATCTCTCTTATTTCACTCTCTCTGATTTCAATTTCTCTGCTTTCAATCTCTCTTATTTCAATCTCACCAATTTTCACTCTCTCTGGTTTCAATCTATCTGCTTTCGTTCTCTCTCATTTCAGTCTCTCTTATTTCAATCTCACTACTTTCACTCTCTCTGATTTCATGCTCTCTTATTGCAGTCTCTCTGACTTCAATCTCACTACTTTCAATCTATCAGAATTCAATCTCTCCAACTCTCGAATTTCAAGTCTCTGATTTCAATCAGTCAGATTTCACTCTCTCCGATTCAACTCCCTGATTTCAAGCTCGCCGATTCCAACTCTCTGATTTTAATATATCTGATTTCAATCTAACTTATTTCACTCTCTCTGATTTCACTCTCTCTGATTTCACTCTCTCTGATTTCACTCTCCCTACTTTCAATCACTCTCACTGCTCTCACTCTCACTCTCTCACTGCATGGGAACCGGAGAGCATCAATGTCACCCTGCACCTGCTTCCCCCTCGCGTTTCCTTGTCCACCTTTGCTGTCCAGTTTCACAGCAGGTGGTCAGGGAAGCATCACTGTCACCCTGCACCTCCTTCCCCCTCACATTTCCCTTTCCACCTTTGCTGTCCAGTTTCACAGCAGGTGGACCGGGGAGCATCACTCTCACCCTGCACCTCCTTCCCCCTCACGTTTCCCTTTCCACCTTTGCTGTCTAGTTTCACTGCTGGTGGACCGGGGAGCATCACTCTCACCCTGCACCTCCTTCCCCCTCACGTTTCCCTTTCCACCTTTGCTGTCCAGTTTCACTGCTGGTGGACTGGGGAGCATCACTGTCACTCTGCATCTCCTCTCCTCTCGCGTTTCCCTTCCAAATCCTGCAGCTAAACTTCATGATTGGTGGGCGCGAGGGGTTATGCTTACCTCCATAGCCATATTTACCCTCAAAATCACCCCCCATGTCCTTGTCGACTAGAAGCAAATGGGGGACAGAGAGGAAGGAGTTAGGAGGCACAGAGGATGCAAGGGAGAGTCTGGGATTACGGAGGGCGGACATAAACCCGGAAAACCTTTATTGTCCTCCATGCGCCACTCTCCCCCTGCCAACTCCCTGCTTGTACCTTGCAGTCAGATCTCATCAGAGGAGGCAAATGAGCATGTGTTGTTGATAGGCTGGAGATTGTGGGCAGTGAGCAGGTCAGGTTGCTTGATGTCAATCAGAGCTAACTGTTTTTTAATCCTTCTGCCCATCTGCTACATTTTGTTAAAACCATCCGATCCAGGTTTGTCCCCCGCCTGGTGAAACACTTTGGCTCTCATCAGAAGTCCGACTTCAACGTCCCAAAGGTGCATGCAATGCTCCATGTGGCCAATGACATTCGTCGTGCAGGTGTGCCGGTCCCCTACTGTACTGACCTCTATGAGCATGTGCACATCTCCCTCATGAAGCGACCATACCGTGCTTCTAATCATCATAATGCCGAAGCCTCAATCACCCGTCGCTGCTTGACAAGCGAGCTTGTTGATTTCATGACGGCAACCGACGATAAAGTAGAAGACAAGAAGGCACGTAGTGTAGCAATGAAACAAGCTCTAGAGACAGGGTCCCCGGCTGTGACAGGCAAGGTTGCGAGGATAGATCCTACTGACCGACGTACAAATTTGTGGAAGGAGTATGCCGACACAGTTCCGGGCGATTTTCACCTGCTGAGGGAAGGCATTCTTGCATTTCAGAGGTGACAGGAACATCCAGTAGGGTGTAAAGTGACGTGGTCTCCCGTCATTGATATGAATCAAGGTATTGCCATTTCTCCTGATGAGGATTTCACTAGATATAGCAAGTACCCAGCATATGCACGGGCAGCTCCTGCGTTCCATGGCCCTTGGTTGGTTCTCAGATGTCATGGTTGGGGGCGTTGAGACTACGGGGGAGTCCGTCATGTGGCCAGCTAAGGTGTTTCTGATTTTCACTTTGCACAAGACTCTTTCCTGGACAATTGTTGATGCACGGACAGGTGACGAGTACACACGAGAGGAAAGAATGGCGGATCAAGTAGCATTCGTGCGCTACTATAAGGCTCTTCCCAGCTGAAACACTGTCGACCTAACAACACTGAAGTGGTGGCCTGGTAACCAGGGATATGGGGTGGTGCACGCGGGGAGCATACTCAAAGTTCTTCATGTGTTTCCTCGTCAGGCAGATCTTAAAGACCCTGGTGCAAGGTTTTCGTGGAATGAGCTGAAGTGTAGGTAGTTAATCATCTTGTACGGTGACATTCAGGTTTGCACGGTAGCTTAGTATTATCACAGATTTGTAAAAACACAACACATTTCTGATTAACTGTAAAGCCACCCAACTTCGGCGAGTCGCGGCTCACCAATTTTTCCGTGTTGTCTGAGTGGTGGTGTACAGCGCGACATACTTTTTAAACAGTACCGTCACAGTTCCCTCACACATGGGAGGATCCTCCCTCCCCTTGCTCTTGTCACTCTTGATTGACACATCGCTTCTAATATTGTCACCATTTCGACCCCTCACCCTCACAGGAATTTCTGCAGCGCGAAGCAACAGCACAGCACTAGGGTTTGGTGATGTGCGTGGTTGCTCCTGGGTGGTTGAGTCAGGAGGTCGAAGTTTGAATCTTCGAAATTTTAACTTGCCATTTCTAGGTTAGTCATAGCCAAACGGAGCCAGGCATCAAGGCAATGCTAACCATCGATTTAAGCGCTTAAGTACCTCAAAGGTAGGCTTGATCCCGAACCTCAAAATCCTTTGATTTAAGGAGCCGCCTCTGCCAGGACAGCTAGACAATGCTTAAATGGAGCCGCCTCTGCCAGCACAGAAAGACTATCCTTAAATGGAGCCGCCTCTGCCAGCACAACTTAATCCGTCCAGGAGCATGAATTTTCATATACGCTTCAGCTAGCGCATTGAATGCCTCTGCCAGAGAATGCTGGATGCATTCTCGGGAGTGTCAAGAGAGGATACATGCGCGACTCGCGTAGGACACCCAATAGGTCACCATAGTGAGTTTATATATTTGTTCTATCGCTACTGTAGTAAAGTAGTACTATTACCCTACCTTCGACTCTAGATCCTCTCCAGAAGATGGCTCCAAACTCATCACCCATAATACTACCGTCTCTTGTGCGTCAGATGGGTGTGCGCCAGAGTCTTGAGCGCACCAGCAAGACTAATCACACGCTGATTCCATGCCAGGGCCAGCTTGCAGGTGAGCTCACTCCCGTTCACCTCAATTCTTTTGGTGGCATATAGAGTCCCATCCCGTCAGTAATCTGTTTTTTCTCCCAAATCAAGAATGCAATTATCACCAACAAGAGAACCACCGTTGCCATCGTGGACTGCTACTCGCATTCGCGGAGCTAAACGATCTGCAACTCAGCAGATACTCGGCTCAAACCTGTTGTGTGATGCTATCATTCGCATTCACGTCTGTCTGCCTCCCATCATATGTTCGTGCGTTGCATGCGTGGTGTGAGCGTGTGCAAGAATTTGTGTTTGGTGTGGTTTGGATTTTCTGAGTATGTGTGAATGTTATTTGGCTTGAGCAGATATCTGAAGTGACTCCTCTGCTCAAGAGCTTTCCGACGAACCAAGAATCGCCGCGATCGAATCAAGAACGAGAAAGTTATTATCGTTCGAAGTTTTGATTGTGATGCAGTGACTTTGGGAATTTGTGGAGTGACTCTATATGGGGTATAGACTTTTGGGGGTTGGGAAATTCGTCCCCATTACTGTAGATGTTGCCAAATGGTTGGGAGGAGCCAAACCAGGTTGGCAAGTGTGGCCAAGTTGGGTGAGGTGGATGGCATGGGTTGGGAAAGTGACAAATGTCAAAGTTGGGGTGCCTATAGAGAGGGGAATTGTATGGTATGGGGTTTCCTTGGTTGGGGACTCCTTGGGGACCTTCCCTCTCGTCCTCCTCTTCCCTCCTACCTGGTTTTTAGCTACTCCAATTCTCTTTGTGATAACTTGTGAGAACAACTGTGATTAAGTTAAGTTTTCAATGGCAGCTTACCCCCTAGTGCGTCGAAATTCATAACTCGAGTTATACTCCATCTTTGGATGCGATTCAAATTGGGAAATATAGCCACGGTCAAGGGCTACAACATACTCGAGTTTGAGAGAATTCCAACGGTTAACTTTTCGTCGACGGCGTTTCTTGTGAACTCGACGATTCTGTCCAGAATTCCAAGCCAACGATTTTGAGAAATTTGGGCCCCTAATCTACATAGACTCCGTCCTTAGTCTCTAACAAAACCATGGGAGGGCACCTCCCATGAATACAACCCAGGGTAACAGTGCGTCCACCTCCCCAACAACTGCCTTTGTGTCCCCAACAGCTGCACAGGGATCCCCTACTGCAAACGAGCGTGGCCCTGATGTTGAAGGGACTTGCATGGGGGAGCCGAACAATGCTGCAACAAATCATGAGGCAAGCCAGCAGGAGGAACATCTTGAAGGGGTAGGAGAATATTTGCCAGCTGCGACTATGGGTGGTAACCAACAAGGTACGGATCTGTATGCTTGGTTAAGTTTGTCATCTCGGTGACATGATCAAGACAGTCACCGATAGAGAGGCTACTTACTGCCTTGTTGGAAGTTTACATGTTGCTGGTTTGGGTGGCATGTATGCAGGCCCCAGGCGCACTTCATTTGCTGCTCGTGTCATGGAACAGGTGGAAGGCGGGAATCATGATGCTGAAGCTGATGAGTTCGCTGAAGAAGGTCGGACTGCAAAGACCTTGAATGACGACGTCCGTTTGCAGATGGAGAAGGATAGGGAGAATGCAAAAGCTGCTCGAGAGGCGTGTGCCAGTAAGGAATCTGATTTGAAGGAGGCCCTGGCCATGGCAACGACCCTCTCAATACATGTCGTTGACGAGCAGGTTCCCCACGTCAACGTTGAGGTAAGATGTTGAAGATGCGTTGTATTTCAGATTCAGCTGGAAAATACACTAAGTGTTTTACCCCAATGCCATGTTGCAGAGGCTCATCAAAGACTTGGTCAATGATATGCTCTTTGATGAAGAGCACATGAACCTCAATCCGACGCACTCATATGTGACAGAGCGCCTTCTAGGTGATTCTTTGTTTTTCTTCAGTTTTGGTTGTTTGAGTTGAAATCGATCTTGCCTAACTCCCACGTTTGGTTGCGTGCACATCAAACTTCGACATCCCTTTTGGCACAATGGCATCCGGAAAGCTGAAAGCCACGCTCAAATACCTGAAAATTCTACAGACAACCGAGCGTCGTTTCAACAACAGGATCGGGAAGATCTACTCGGCGTGTTGGTACTCACTGCGAAGGACACCTTTACGGCTGCTGGTCCCCAAAAGGGGGAATGATGGAAAGGTCTCGTTTCAACTGGGAAGGGATTTCGCGGTTCGTTGCGAAGATTACGTTACCAAAAACTCAGACAGTAAGTGTTGCATTGGTATTCCCCGTTTCTTGGCAATCACTCAAGTTCAGTTTGGAAATGCAAGTTTCACATTTTATCTAGTGGCCTGTCATTTATTGGCATGTTGCTGATGGCGAAGCGTTCTCAAGCCCGGCGTTTCTGGAGTGTGCTCGATTGTTCATCCCACAGATCTATGACCCGCTGCTGCCCATCGGCCTCTATCCAGTCCAGCTCATGCTCATCCTTGCGGTGGTAAGCATTGCATGGGTGTACTCCAAGTGGTCCTCTGTTTAAACTGCTTCCAAGTCATCAGTCTCTCCCTCCTTGCCTTGTGTGCGCTGCTGATTATCATCATCTCTCCCTCTTCTTGGCTTAATCTACCAGTACGCTCATCCCTCCCTCCCCTAGCCTTGGCATACCTGCATGATCTTATCTTCCTCTCCCTGGCTTAATTTCCCTGCAGG